AGACATAAAGTGTTGTTGATACAATTAGTAATTATTTATTTTAAAGGACATTTTATTAAATATAGTTTACATCAAAATCAAAATCATCGATAAAATATCCTTGAAAATAAATAATTATCTAATAATTGTTAATAGAATCGTGACGATTTCATTAAATTATCTATTAAATAAATCCAAATAATATGGGCAAACTACGAAGCAGTGAAAAATCGTTCCGGTTTGAAGAGAAGCGCAAAAAATACTCGGGAAGTGATAAGTGGATACAATCAATAGTACATGACTTCGTTGATATGTCTACTTAATCTCAATCTTATTATTGTACGTCCACCCTATACAACATTCAACAATCTCGATGGGAAACACTCGTATTTATACAGAAAAAGAAAATCACAGGCTTTTATAACACACGCCAGACATGATAGTAGAATTTATAATATAAAAATCTATTAGTAGTTAAAATATTATTATTATCATCATCATTATTGTTTGAAAGTATGTCTTGTAGCTTTTGATACTACAAAGCAAGGAACGCCTCGTCCTCGCGATGGCTCACCCGTTACAGGTCGCTTTCTCATTATTATTATTATCATTATTATCATTATTATTAGCATTATTATTATCATTATTATTATAAATAGAATAGAATTGTGTCAAGAATAAATATATAAAAAATATTGAGAAGAAATTCAGAAATTTGGTCGTAAAATACTCTACGATTTTAAACCATTGCAAGTTTCTACATACAAAAAAGTATGTATGGTTTATCGATACAAATAATTCATTTAAATAAATAAATGATAATAAGAGCAATAGCCAGTAGTTACTTATGCTGATCTCTAGTCTGGTAAAGTATAAAATACCGATATACTTACGATATGCTATAAAAGTCTGTGAAGAAACCTCCATTCTTACATTCTTTCATAACCTTGTGTCAAGGATAACTTTTTAAATGCCTGATTTCCTCGTTTCAATTTAATAATTCTATGACAAATTATTATTGATTATCGGTAAATCTTAGATTGACATATTAAAATTTTAACAGTCTTCTAAGTTTTCGAAATCATCAAAGTCCTTAAAATTATTGTAAAAAAATTTCAAATGCCAGATATTAAAACCAGATATTCTAAATTTTTAAACTTAAGAGTACATATATATTTAGATCTATTTTTAGATTCGATTCCAGGGATTTGGATTTTTATAGAACTTTTATCCTCGAGAAATGAAATATATAAATTTATGTTCTTAATTTATGTATGTTCTAGGATTCATATTTCATCTTTTACTTAAAAGCGTATTATAAATCGGTGGCTTCTTAGACTTCTAAATTTTATACTGTCCAATATACAAATCCCCGCAAATTACTTAAAAATTTTATTTAAAAAGTTAAAAATAGATTTATTTAAACAAATTATGTGTGAAATTTACAAATGGGTTTCCAGATTCTAAAAAATTGCAATTCTAGATCCTTCGATAAATTATTAGAGCTTTCAATAATTTTTATACTCTAATTTCATCCTTTAAATAAAAGTCCTGGGTCCTTGAAAATTCGCAATTTTTTTATATTATCTCCCTTTCATATTATATGGATTTTTTTAACATTTATATTCTGAGCAATGATATGAATAATTATTTAGATATGCTATTGCTTTTGAGAAACAAAAAAATCAGGCTGTACACATCGATGTTTTTTGCTACCTTAAATTTATTTGCATTAAAGAATACGAATCGTACAAAACAGCTAGAATAGCCGCCCATTGAATGATCAAAGAACCTTCTATTTCACGCGTTTTCCTTTTAAGTTTTACTTAAATTATAAGTAAACGATGCCATAATAATTCAGAACGCGATAATTTTGGCGATTCATATTCTATTTTTGTTCAACAACTGTTCTTAGATGAACATATTAAAAATATATGAATTACACTTAAAACATTTAGTGTCAGATCAAAAAATTATACACTATAAAATCAAAATAATTGATAAAACTTCGTGGAATATTTTTTAAGACGTGTAATAAATCGTTCTTCTATTATAGTTTAACATTAACACTCGATTCCTTCGATTTTGCACAACGTATATTATTTTTCGTTTCTTACAAAAAGTAATCATCTATTTTTAGCAGATTACATTCTTGAAATATTATACTTTTGTGTTTTTGCTCTATTATAAAGTAAAACTATACAAAAATGCAGTATACGATTTAAATTTCGCAAATCTTGATAGGTACTACCAAATTCTTAAAAATTTTTAAATATCGGAATTCTTTTTTAACATCGTTCACTGATGTGAAAGATGGAGGATCCTAAATATAAGTCAACCTCGAGTCTCGCCTCGCCATGGAACCGCCGCCAAGAGGATATTTCCATTTTGTCTAGCTGAGATCGATGGCGATCGCCTCACCATTCTCGAGTACAATTCCGAGAAAGTATTTTGGCCGAGAAACGCGCAGGATATTCCAACTTCCGTGAACTCACTCGAGGCGCTTTGACTGTGAGCAGGAGGGGGAGTGACATAAATATCGTCTTACCGAAACGAAACACGTTATCTCGTGGAAAGTTCTCGCCGGAAGATCAAGGGAGTAAACTCTTTAAGTCTTTTCCAGGTTCCCAACTCCGTGGACTTTAGTACGATCGTACGATGCACGTGAATTTTTCGGAAAGACGAGAACAAAGCTGACCAGAAATCCCCGCACAAAATTTAAGTATGGAAAATGTAATATTCTCTTTCGTTATACGGAGAATCTAGTCGATCGAGAAAAGCTCGTTTTTACACAAAGCCCAATCATAAATTTTTCAAGTGTAATTTTTTTATTACAAAGTATATTTAAAAATCCGACTAATTAAATGTGCTAATCATAATTGAATATCAGCTTCCACTTCGTTATTTCCGCTTTGTAATATACACATCTGCATTTTGACAAAACTTGTTCGGAATAATGAACAAATTTATTATTATTATTATTATTACTCTTGTCTGCTTTGTTTTACTACTTAAGACTTAAGTGAATTTAAAAGAATGTATCTTGCAAGCCTTCGAGGGAAGTGGAAGGTCAAACATCAATGAGCGGCTCATTGTTTGTTAATAATGACTATGTTTCCACCGTGCACAATGCCAAAATCCCATTTTTCATATTACATTGACAGAAATGTGACGTTAAATGTCACACGGATACTATTTAATTTTCAATATTACGATATCCTACAATAAATTCTATCATAAATGTGGTGTTCAACATTCTGCCGTAATATAATACCACATAATCTTAAATATAATTATACGATGTGTAGGTACCTATGTTTACGTCAAATGTATGATATTTGAATGAGAATTAGATTTTGGAACTCTCTAGCTAGCCATGTATAACACTGAATGTACGGTGAAAACGTAGTCTTTATTATAATTAGCTCCTACTTTCGTAACGAGTACGTTACACGCTTCGTCTAAGCGTCTCAATCGTGCATATGATCAGGGTTATCACAATGTTCAAACGACAAAAAAAGAGAAACCCTTAAATTCTATGTGAAATGTTTTGTAAAATGTTTTATTTTGTAAAATACTTGAGAAATAATGTAGATAAAAAATGAGGCGTAATAATAATTAGACTCGATTGAAAATTAATTTAACCAAATAACAGGCAATTTATATGAATGTTAACTAAATAGACAATGTCAATGTATCTAAAGTTTATTATAAAATACCTCGTCAGTACATCATTATATCGTTTATGAATAATATATTAATAAAAAAATTAATACATATAAGACATAAATTAATGTAATTAAAAATGATATTTAAATCTATCTATTAAAATATCATAATTTAATTAAAAGGGGATTTAATTAACTTAATTAAATTAAAAATGTTTACGCAATAATATTAGAGAATTAATCCATACATTATCTCTCATCATAAATATTTGTTTTGTAAACGTTATTAAACAAAAAAATGTTAAATAAAAGCCTGCATTAAAAATTAATTTAATAAAATATTTTCTCTCGCGCGTAGCAGATAGAAATACTTTGCATCAAGATACAATTTCACACTATTGTTTCTCAAAACTCAAATTATATGAATTGTACTTAAAAATAGGAATGTATTATATTAACGAATTCTAGTCATTTAAACATATCGTGCTTATCTGATTTCTATGCTCGTTACAATCTTCGCAATGTAACATCCGACACTGGATTAATAAATACTTATTGATAATCTGTCAGTTCTTTGCGATTAGTCTTACTTAGGGTTAGGTAAATAGTTAATTAAATTAGTTACTTAGGCGCGTTAATCAGCGGCGTCGGTGTTTTTCTTCACCTTTCCGCTTCTCCGTCCTTGTCACATATCGTACTTTCTTCGATATATCGTCTGGTGGATGGCTTCGTATCGATTATCGTCGAAAATAAAAAAAGACGAAAAGGATTGTTACCCAGTTTTTAACGACCGTCTCGAGTCGATTTATCGCAATCGAGCTTCTCGATAAAGATCTTTAAACGTGGACTGTCTAAATTATAAATGTACAGTCTTCTTTTCACCTTGCTTACATCTTTTTGACGAAATACTGGAATCTTTGGACCGAGTCCGAAAATTCTACGATGTGTATAATTTGCATATTTTTGCATTTTTATTAATAAAGCTAGGCCGTTTTTTTAATTTTTAAAATCGTACATGTTATAAATTTTGATTTCAACGTCAGAAATATTGAAATCTTGACATATTATACATTAAAACAAACAATAAAATTTGTAAATAATGAAATCGATTCTTAAGAATCCTAAATCTTCCAAACTCTTTTGGAATTTTTAAACTGTCTAAATCTTAGATTTTAAGGTTTCAGATTGGTAAATACTGAAATATTTTAAACTTTAAGTATCTAATATATTTGGTATTTTTTATTTTCAGATTTTGAAGAATGAAATTATCATTGTATTAAAATTTCGCGGATTTCAATAATTTTCCAGTCGGAGAATCCTCGGATCATTATCCTGTCCAAATCATTACTCTATTCTCACTCATTCCTAAACTGTTATACTATTACTGTTTCACTTCGAATCTCTCTTTTTTCCACATTTCAAAGCTTCGCAACTAGAATAGGATGCTGCACGCGATGCGAAACTTTTGACAAAGATTACAGTCCTCACATTTCTTATCCATCAGGATGTTTTTGACTCATCAAGTCTCGGTTCTGTTATTTGTTACTTCGAATTCTCGAAGAAAAAAATTAATTTTCTCTTTTTCACTGTGATTATTTTCGAGTTCAATGAAGAAAGACGCTGGTAACAGACCTCGTAGTGTGAGGGGGCAAGTCGGGGGCCTCTGTGAGGGCCCCCTCGTGTCCCTATGCACTCAAACCGAGCCGATGAATCTTCGCCGAAAGGAAGTTGTGCAGGACGAACACGATTGGTTTTGGACAACTCTCCAAATCTAACTCCTACAATAATAATTAACCGATACTTTTTACTTACTGATGAAAGCTGACAGAATAAGTAATTAAGTTTCTTACTGTTTAAGAAAATATCTGATTTTTAATTAATTAATTTTATGTGTCTATGAATTCAAAAGAATAAGGAAACAGTTTTCAGGACCTAAGAACAACTAGCCATTTTTCATCATTAATGAAAAAAACGATGGTGCACGTAGAAGTCCTAGTCTTAGAGTAACTACATTGAATGATGTAAGTTGAAATGAAGAAATTTACGATTATAGCAAACTTTCCCTCGTTCCATAAACTTGCTCTTAAATTTACGACGCTTGAATCTATTCCCCGGGATATTAAATTTTCTAGTCTTTTTGATTTTTGAAATCCATATGTCTATCAAATACTCACAATTTCGCCATCTTCACCTCCAAAATCGAGCCACAGAAGACGAGCGCCGTCGTCCGCGGACATTTTCAATTTGTCGAAGGATCTTCTCCAGAGTGGCGTGGGTGGTGATCCAGGACTTACGCCGTTCCCGGCAGTACCCCGCGTTCCTGCGGAGTAAAGCGCGAAACCTTCTTCGTGGTTGACAACCAACTGACAGGCCTTACCTTGCCATGTGCAACCTATAACATACAAAATATCACAAAATTAAAATAACAGTAGAGAGAAAAATATAAATCTATTCACAATCTATTATTTTATATCATTTTTATATTTATGTTAATATTAATACCATATAGATATTATTAGATACAAATTCTTTTAATATATAAATCAATTTTGTGTATTATTGCTTATGTGCTGTTTTAATGTTTTACCAATTGTTCTTATTATATTTATATAATATAAATAACGCAAATTATAATTATAGTTGAACAATTTAAACTTATAAATAATATTCGTATAACATAAGCAAGACAATTTTTAAAAACAAATTAATCTTTTAATAAATTGACAGTTTATTTCCTCTAAATAAAAATTTGATCAGATAATTGTAAAGCGTAATTACATAAATACCATAATTTTATAAGCCTAGTTAAATAAAAATCAATAAAGGCTATATTTTTTATTTATTTTTAATAATCATAATCGTAATTGTATAATTCAATTAATGTTCAAGTAAATTTCTTGTGACATACTATTTTTTATGAGGCAGCCTGTATATATTTTTCCATTGCGCGTTTCTGCCGCATCGGGGGAGGGGGGAATATCCACGGTTCTTTATCATCGATGAGTTCGACGCGAGACGCGAACAAAAAGACGCGTATGAAATGGGCGAGGCATTCATCTCGATTTATTATTGCCGTTCGTCGTCGCTGAAAAGAAATTAAAATTCATCGAACCGAACGCGGAAAATGACGAGAGTGTAGATGTCGACTATCATCCGCTGCTATATAACTTACACAGAAAGAACTCGAGTTCACAATTTTCTCAAATATTTCATGGTATACACATTTCTACCTCATCTACATAACTTTTAATATCCATTTATCAATCTTATTATAATCAATTTTCTAATTTTACGAAAATAAATTGTTAGGCATTATTTTAAATATCTAAAAATTCAAATCCAGTCTTTTTAAAAATTATAGTTAATACATGAGATTACTCACGAACAGTGTATTCTCGTAAGGAATGAGCAGCCGTGTGGCATCCTTGAACGATCGCCCGCGCCCAAGCCGCCAGATCTCTTCGTGTTTCAGCTCGTAAATGATGCGTGACTACCCCGTCCATCGTGCCAACCCGGACCGCGAACGTCGCCCCGTGTTGAGTCGAACCGCTACTGCTGCTCGCTGCTTCATTCTGTCGCGTTGGAGAGGAAACCAGTCTGAAATCATTCCATTCGAGTCCCCTTTAAATTCCCAGATTTTTATTTAGAAAGTCTTTAACCCGGTTATAATCATCTTAGCGGCGAGAAAATGTGAATTGTTCTAAAATGGATATTGTTTTCTTTCTTTTTTGATAACTATGTTTTATGAACCTTTAAATAATGCAATTCCATCGAAAATCCGCCGCAATAAAAAGCGTTATATTAATTAAAATCTTTATTTTTTTAAGATAAACTTCTAAAAATCCTTTTTTTTAGATATCATATAATAATAAACTACTTAACGTATTTATTCCGTTTAATATTTGTTTAATATTGTTTCTACTTATTTTTTTCAGGAAATTCTGAGTAAATCCATAATGTTCTCAAATGTCAATAATCGGAAAACAATCGATATTAAACAATATATTGTAAATAATAGTGATTTTAATTGAGGTGTAAAAATAGTTTATAAAAGTCATCCCAGGTAATTGTTTACGTAAAAAAATGAGATGACTATGGATTAAAGACGTACATTTAAAGGCGTATCAATCTTTAATATCAATATTGAATATATGGATTCTATGTTCTCACTCCACATGTACATTTACGTTAAATGCGGTTCTTACATTAGATCGATATAGCGGACTTCTAGAATGAAGATTGAAGATTCCGCGGAGGTACGAAAATCACGTGACATCGCTCTTGGGGTGTCGGATAAAAAGCGCCGACCTTTATCGAAACGATCGAAGCGCCTTGTAGCGAGTCATGGTATGGATTCATTCCCGTCGTCCCTTCATCCCTCTCCCAACGGGTAGGTAAATTACCTCGTCATCCGGCTCGCCTCGCTCGTAAAATCGTCGCGGCTTTATTGCATGTGGGACGAAGCTGCAGTGTTCACCTGACACGGGTTCGGCCACGTATGCACCCCTTCCCCAACCCTCCTCGAATCCATTCCCTCCCACCAATCTGCCCGCTGACGAATGGTCCTGACGTTCGCGAGCCCGCGCGCTAGATTTATAGATTTTTCCGAGGGACACTGGCGAGCTCAAAAAAAAAAGAAAAACAAGGAGTGATAGAAAGAACACCCTACGCAATAGAGGACAGAACGGATGCAAAAAAATAGCACACTTGGACTAGAAAAAATGCCCGCCCCTGGCATTATTCAACATGCCTAACGGTCGCTCCGGGCCTTTTTCGCTCCGATGCTAATGGTTGCCTACTGCATGTCGAGATGTAGTTGAATTTCCGTAGCAAAGAACATCTAAGTTGCTAAAATTACACAGTTCAAAACAATTAAAAATATATAGGAAAGAGTAAAAGAAAAAGTAATTTAATTTATCAGCATTTATATATATATATATATGCAGTAAAATCTTGTTTCTAAAAGCGGGAGCAGAGGATCTTGCATAACGCATATAACACATAATGCATAAGAAAATGGACCAATTAAATATTAAATTTTTTTCCTTTCCATGAAATAAAAGACTGATTTATTGATTCTCTTGTCCTTGATGCATTATACGTTATGCAAATCTCAATGCTCTGCCTTTAAGCTTGAAATAGATACTGTTTAGGGGAGAGTGGAGAATTGTGCGAACACAGGATAAACGCGAACCCAAAAAGTATTATTGCAATATAATATATAGATTAGTGATAACGATCATCATTTCTCGTATCCAGTGGTAGTTCAATATAGGCTTAGTGCCATTCCATAACACGTGACAGTTGAATGTACATCCCTTAAGTGTTTTCCCTAATTGTTGCCCTAAATACCAGACATCTAAATTAAGTAGTATTTAAGAAAGTAATCCTTTAAATATTTAATTATTTTTAGATGTATATCTATATTAATCTTCTTTCTCTATCGCTTCCTATTATCTTTAAATTTCAAATCTATTCCTCAATCTATTGGAAATAATTGTATCTCTTCGTAGTATCTGGTCTAAATACGTATACTTTAACGTTGCTAGATCCTTGATTATGGTTGAAGTTCGAAATAATTTGTGTTCTCTCGGAGCAATGGATATTCATTGACCATTATCGCGAGCGCTTTCGGAGGACAGTGAAAAAATAAAGCAATAGCAAAAAGCGCGACTGGAGAAAATTCCGATAAGCGGGAGGAAGTTGGAGAGACAGCCGCAAACGGTAAATAAAAGCGTTAAACGAGAATGGATGTTCGTCGGCGGCCGTAATCCGACGAAAAAGCCCGCAGGAAGAAAAGAAAGTTTCCCTCGGGATAGCCGAATCACTTCCGGTTTGTCTCGCAGTAAAACTTCCTTAAGTCGGCCATTTCGCGTTCTCGCGTCGGGCCCGATACAGGCCCCGTCGACCGGAAATAGAACTTTCCGACATGTTTCGCTCCTTTCACGCGTCTTTTAGATTCTTCGTTTCTTTGCCCATCGAGTGGAAACTTGAAGAAAACGATGTCTGAATGTTTGGTGACGGAAGAAGAAAATGATTAATAGCGCGACAACATGAAACTCAAGCAAAAATTCTTTTCCGCGCAAAGGAATTTTCTGTTTTTTACAAAACCAACTTGATGATCGTTATTTATTAAAAATTTCAATTAATTCTAACACACATTCTATAATAAGCCAGATTGGTCAATTTTTAGCTTCTGACTTCTGATTTATTACTAATGGCTTATTGTAGAATGGCCATAATTTTGAGCCAAGATCTATAACGTTAATAACAATTAAAACAATTAAAGAGAGTTTTTAATAGACTTTATATAGTTGATTATATTAAACAAAAAACTAAAAAAAATCAGATAATCGAGTATTGAACAAGAAAAAAATTTTAGTAAATAGTTCAATATTGACATAGTATAACGCCACAAGTAAATCTCTATTGTGAATAATTTAATATTATATATACATTTACTATATATTGCTTCATTATTGACTAAACATGTTACGCAGTTTATTGGTGATATAAATAACACTCATATTAATCAAATATTTAAATTATAAATAATTTACAATAACTTATTTCTCTCTGATAATATTAAGTATAAAATAATTTCTAATATTTTTTTAGAGTATTATTTTATCTTAATATAAATGATGCAAATTTCTCTGTCTTAGCAATAGGAAAGTCTTCTTATTATATATTTGTTCAAACAAAATGATACTCAAAATGATCTATACATACTATATATACTATATACTTAACAGATATATGATAAAAACAGAGGCGCGGGTTCGTAAACTGCCACGAACGATCGATGCACATTCCCTCTAGTCTTTTTCACTTAAAATTTAAACGAGGCTTAGCTGGATCACCGATCATTCAAACAGCGTGACTGCCTGACACCACATTTAAGCCGCTCGAAAACGCTAGGCTCATCGTTAAAAATGAAGCTGACATTAATTCACAACAACGATGCGCGGGAAAGTTTAACGCGATATAAAATAATGCAACGAGACATTTTCAGCGTTACGTAATACATAACTTTCGCTCTGGGTGCTTTAATTTTCTATATATTTGCAAAGTGTTTTCTGTGTAAACCATTTTCTGTGTATTTGAAATCTTTGTACATATTAAACAGTAATAGTTTTTACATATATGTGTATATTATAATAAATTTTACACCATTTTAAATGTACAGTGGAAGATTGATGTAACATTTTGCATATTTTTTCACAAATGTAGAGATAAATTTTCCTTAGAATAATTCTTGATATTTTAACGTTTCCAATGTTATTTTGATAACTACATGCATAAAATAAGGAATATATACATAAAATAGACTATTTATACAAAATTCATTAAAGAAATTAATTGAACAATATCATATGCTATATTCTGTTTACAAACTCTCTCTCTCTCTCTCTCTCTCTCTCTCTCTCTCTCTCTCTCTCTCTTAATTACGCTCTATTTCTTAAAAATTCAATCAAAGTCAAACTTCAATAGAATATGCCTCTAAAGCTTAACACGTAACACTGTATAAAAAATATATTAAAAGAGACAGAAAAAAGAATTATTCTTTTTTAACTTAAAAAATCCGAAAGAAAAAAAAGAAAAACGTTGAAAAAAGTAAGTTTATATTGAAAAGTAAGTTTATACTTTAAAACGTTTGCTCTTCTCTTATATTTTTCTTAGAGATCAATATACATAAACTTAAATTTATCTATTTAAATTCTAATTTGGAGCTGAATATAAAGATTTGATAAATTAATTAATGATAATAAAAATCTTATATTATTCCTTTACAGTTCGTTATATATAAAAATTTTATAATTGTTTATAAACTTTATGATTATTTATAACTATTTCATTAAAATTAATATGAGTAATTGAAACTGAATAATTATTAACATACAAATGTTTTACAATCAGTATTAACATTGAAATTAACGCTTAATAATAAGAATATTCAAATTTGATATTATGTAAATTAGAAAATTGATTATTTCAGTATTTATCACTTAAATCAAAACCAAACGATTTTTGCAATAATTTTTGCAACGGATATATAAAAATGTCGCTCAACTCAAAAATAACAGCGTTCGTTGACGAGAAATAGCGTGGGATATTATATCGCGGAAAATCTGCGATAAAATCCGATTAAGACGCGAGATCTCGTGACGAATATCGACTTTCGGCACGATCCTATTAGCTCAGTCGCAGCAACTATATTTGCCGATCACCAACGTCAAAATTCATTGCGAATTATCAATAATTCGATTTGTGTCAGCAGTATCGACGTTTACATAACATCCTTCATATTTATCTCTATTGTGGATTATATACGCAATTTATCCTTGCGTGATAAATCCAAATAAATTGACAAAATGATGTAGGTTTCAAAGATAAATAATGACAACAATAAAATAATGCCAATAATAAACTATTTGGGATATTTTCTTACTATTTTGCTTATATTTTTAGATAGAATAATATTATTTTAGTATGTAAACGTTCAAAAAAATTAATCCTTATAGACGTTTTGCTGTCATATCCATTTGAAACACATATTATATATGCTGATAATATATTTTCAGCTGAAATAGAGA